TCATGTTGATTAATTCACCTTCACATAGGAAGTAATCTGTTATTAATTTAATTAAGGTACTATGTGCATGGAGTCTGCAGGGAAGGAGAAAACTGCCAGTATTCACACGACTTAAAAGATAAACCGTCAATGGTATGTCATCTTTGTAATTTATGGCATTTTAGTGTTATTACTGTCAAAATATTTCCACAAGTCGAAGAATGCAGCCGCCCAGTTCCAATTATTGCTTTGACTTTGTTTGTTTCCTGAAAGTGAAAGTAAAGGTGACTTGCACTAGGGTCTCAAATTGTCTGTATCTTAACATATTATGGCTTGTAGTAAACAATAAATTGATTAATGCTTTAGTATGCATGGCATCATCAAGTTATGATGCAGATGGCAAGATTAGAGAACACAAAAGAAGCATAAGAGTTTCATGAGGTACAGCCGAGATCAACTTAGCTTCTTGAGTGCTCTCCAAATGTCTTATAATAAGCGTGTTGTAACTTGATAATGCACAGTTCAAAGTTACATAACATTACCAATAGAAATGACGAAGCCAAGTATGCTTTGCTCAAACCATGAGTGTGTATGATTAGATTTTATAAAATATGTGAGATACTATGCATGCTCCCATTGGTTGATAGGTGTTTTCAGGTGAGAGTGTGTAAACACAGTTGTGACGTTTTAGATTTGAGAAATATTTTATGAAAGGAATAGAGTACTTAAATTTCAGTGTTTACAAAGCCTCATAGCCTCATCTAAACACTGGGAAGGAGTGTTGGGAAAATTCTTGAGATGTAGTCAAGGGCTTGCATAAGTGTCTTGAATTCTCTGAACACCCCTTGTGTTTAGAAGAGGCTATGTAAACACAGAAAAAGTGCTCTATTGCTTAAATGGTGCACACTTATGTATACTTAGTTTGATAGCACAACTTTTATGGCTATGTTATAGTGTCATTCTGGCAGAACTTTTTAACCCAATAACCTGTAATAAAGAGACACTTTTACAGTATCATTGTAATATTTTCAAGCATAATTTGGAGTGTTTATTTCATAGATTTGTAAGTATTATCTACAAGGAGCATGTTCCTATGGAAACAGTTGTCGTTTTGACCATGTCAAGCCACCATCTGGAAGGTACTGTATACCTGATTTGATAAACATCATTTTACTAGTCAGATCCATATTTGCTTTATTAATAGTCAAAAAGTTGATTATTATAAGTTTTATGCCAAAATTAGTCTATTTTCATTAATTCATTTTTTGTTGCAACAAAACCTGCAGTGAATCTTTTGCTGAATAAAGTCAGATTAGTCTCAATACAGTTGTGCAATCATGCAAGTCCTCTTACTTTGTCATGCTTAGTTTGAAACAACCCACCTTCCCTCCAAGAGCAAATCAAGCCAATTTTCTAAACAGGAGTATGAATGTTTTTTTTTAGAGTATTTAGTATATCCAATACATCTTATGCCATGCTGTTGAAACTACCTGATTATGATTTGAAATAATCACATCAAAATTGAGGGCTCTGCATGTGATGTAAACCATAGTAACTTGTTAAGAATAAGAATAACAGTAATAACATGTTACAATTTATATTTCCTTATTTAAGGACCAGAACTTTATCTGGCCCCAAGCCAATACCATTAATACCAGAAAATGATCAAGATAAAAACAAGGTACTAAATGTATTAATATCTACAGACATAAAGTTTTGAATAATTCTGACATTACTAATTTTTTAAAGAATAATTGTTCAGTTACATAGATATGTAGCGAAAGGTAAATCTTATTAAGTAGGTTTATCCTGATAACATATAAATTAAAAGATCAGAAGTAAGACAAAATTTTTATTTTTTCATTATCAAGATTGTGGATCAAATATTTTTCTATTTCTAAGATGTTCAAGGCAGTAAATTTCAGAACAGAGTAGAAGCCTTTAGATCAAAATAATGAATCATACAGAATGTTTCAGAATGTTGTGATTCAGGATGAATAGACCTGTGTATGTTTTGTCTGAGGTTGAATGTTATTTTGGTTAGGATATCACCATGTTATTTGGTACATGTGTATAAATGACCTTGTTTCAACTTTGACAGATGGTTACCCTCACAAAACAAAATAGGAAACATCCAAGCAGCTGGGTGGATGCACCTGTGTTTGTCCCAGTAAGTAATAAGACCAAAGTGTCCTCATTGTATATCCAAAATTATCCCTTAATGATAAGTTATTTGCTCTCATGTAAAATTGGGTATGATGTCACAACGTTGCCATATGCCTGGTAACTCAGATCTTGGTGAAATATCATGTCATTTGAAACTTTTATCTTTCTCTAGCACACCAGTAATGTTCGAGTTTCTATTGGATGGATTGGTCAGGCACTCTAGTCGCTCAAAGTTGAACAGTAGCATTACTCAAAAATCCGATCTAGCCACCTTAATATTAACTTATAACTAGCAAATAATACAATTCTGTCAATAATGCAATTTTTGACTGTTGTTCTCCAAAGGGCAAAGCATATCAGGGCTTGAGCTCATCAGAAAGGGAGGCGGAAAGTATAACGGATCCTGTGAGTATTCCAGACCCACATAAAGCTTTGAATGTGCCTTATACACTCATTATGCATGCATCCATGAATGTATATAGCAAGGCAGGCTATCTGACTGGTCACCACTAAACTACATTGTACATGATGTGAAACTGTTGTATTGTTACTTTATAGGATGGTGGTAATCTGTCATATTCTGCAGCAGCTCAGAGTGGGGTAGAATTTGTTGATGACCTTACTGATGAAGAGGCTTCTCAAGTGGTGGGTAATGAGTCTGTCAGCTTTATAAGATGTTATAGTAGCATACTTCATTATTCACTGGAAACATTGAAAAGTTTCATAGGCATGCATTGCATGTAGAGAGTACAGATTAATAGCCCTTCACATGTACATGTATTACATGTCTATCATACTATGAAAAAAGGTTCAACTGTAATAATATTGATTAAAAGTATTATCGTTTGTCTCATGACGTGGTCACCTGTGTGACTAGCTATCCATCACTTATAAAGCACTGTGTTCCACTATGATTGGTTGGTGGCAGTAATACATTTAAGTGACGCATAAGCGGTCAACCTCATCACCTGACGAAGAACAGCAGTATCCAGTAGAAATGTCACAATGTACATCACAAGTGACCACATCGTGGAACAAATGAAAAAACTTTATTTTTGGTTGTACTTCACTACGACGATCAACTACAACTTTGAACAACTAGAACCTTTTTTATGACAAGTACAATTTATTTGAATTTTGAATTTATGGGTGTGGTCATACATTTTTTTTTATTTGTCTGTTTTGTGCATTTTAGCTCTGTCCATTTGCTGCGGCAATAGGAGATTGCCCTTTAAGTGAAACGTAAGTTTATTTTCTTGGTATCTGACTTTCATTTTGGAACGGCTGGTGACCAAGGGAAAAAAGTATCCATTTTCTTGCTTTACAGCTGTAGTTACTTACATGGTTTGGAATGCGAGTATTGTGGCAACAAATGTCTTCACCCATTTAATGTGTCTCAACAGGAAGGTAGGGTGGAGATTATACAATTTAGATTTATTTCATAAGAATTTTAATCAATGAAATAAACATTGTAAATTGCTTAATTATCATTCAGTTTATCCTCTCTACGTTGGATCTGCTGAAAGACCCCATGCATCACAGTCTGTTTACTTGTGTGAACCGAAAGTCCCTATACCCACAAAAGTAGCCTATATGCATTTTACCAAGTGCTCGTAACATGCTGGTTTGATTGTGATGAATTTGTTAATTTATTCACTCTAATTTCTTCTTTCAGAACATCGCCAGCAATGTATCGAATCCCATGAAAGAGACATGGCACACTCATTTGCAGTACAAAGGTAAAGAAAGCTTGAAATTGAAAGTTAAAAAGGTAAAAGGCTGTATGCTTTGGCATGTTACAGATGTTTTCAAGCCCCTTCACCTTGGTGTTATGTTCTGTTCTTCATAATTTGTTTATTATCTCCTTGTTGCAGGAGCGAGGGTGTAACTTGTGGAATCTGCTTAGAGGTTGTCAAGTCAAAAGCAAATCCCAGTGAACAAAGATTTGGAATCCTAAGTGAGTTTGTTTCTTTTTTAGTTGTGTTCTACTTTCTTGACATTTTCACACCCAAAGCTGTGGAACGTTAATTATGGTTAACAATAATCTTTTGAAAATGACAACTCCGAAACGTCGTTTGTTCTTATCGCTAATTTTTCCTTGCTTGTGGATACTGGTAATATATTTATATAACAACAGAAAGATATGAACACCTAGAAACTGAGAAATCAATGCAGAATAGTATCTTTTAACAAGACTAAACTGGATTTATTAATTAACCGTTAAGTGACCTTCTTTGAGTTTGTGGCACCAACAGCATTAACACGAAAACAAAAACAAAAAAAAAAACGGTGTTTATTTTTCATGTAATGTAATTGTATGTAATTTGTTTACCCACGGAGCACCAAGGAGTTCACAGTTCACAACTCGTTCAGAAATGTCCCCGCATTCAAGGATCGAATTGGAATTCGAGAAATGTTGGTTTTTGAGGAGAGGGGAAAACCGGAGTACCCGGAGAAAAACCTCTCGGAGCAGAGAAGAGAACCAACAACAAACTCAACCCACATATGACGCCGGGTCCGGGAATTGAACCCGGGACACATTGGTGGGAGGCGAGCGCTCTCACCACTACGCCATCCCTGCCCCCAAATGGTGGTAGAAATGGTAGAAATGGGCAACTTGAGAGCGGTAATATTGCAGGATAAAAAGTACATACCAATTTCGTAGTATACTAAATCAGTTGTAACGCTATGACGATAGTTATGTTCGTGCATTTATTTAGAGTAAATACGATTGAACTTTGAATTTTCACAAAAGTTCTCTTCTTGTTTTTGTTAATCTAGCCTCAGACTTAGATTGCTATGTCTTTGAGACAGGGAGGGAGGCTCACCTCATTGAACGGAAGTCCATCTTCAGCCGTTTGGTCACACTATGTGTTTACATTTTGTGACTGATCGCAGTGTAACTTACAGCGTTTATTAAAAACCCTGATTCATTTTCAATCTTGTTTTAGCTGATTGCAACCACGCCTTTTGTCTGGCTTGTATCCGTCAATGGAGAAATTCGTCACACGCTAAAAACAAGGTCGTCAGGTAATGTTCAAATCCATCGATATTAGGAAGATGCATATTTTTTCAGGTTTATAGGTATTTATTTCTATCACAGACATGAGTGTTTTACTGGAAAATACACTAGCCGTAAAATTCATACAGTCGAACCGACTATCGAATCTCCCGTAAGCGACCACCCAAAATGTCAGGCCTAGGTGGTAGCTTAAGGGAGGTTGAAAACAAAAGAAAATTTCAAACTTTTAGCTCTAAAAGTGGTCGCGGTCTCTTACGAGAGGTGCCCGCTTACAAGTGGTTCCAAATATAGTGATCTGACTTGAAAACTTTTGGTATTTTGGAAAACTGGTCGCTGAGGAGAGGTGGTCGCAACCGGAGGTTCGACTCTACTTAACAACATCCGAGACCCGAGTGGAGTATTTTCCGTATCCTCATTAGTGAGGATATATCGATGACGTCATTTCCTTCTTATATCATGGCTGTTTGTGCCAACACTCAGTTGTGAATACAGCTATTTCAATAGTAACATTGTCGGAGCATTCAAGTTTACGCGACAACAACAAAAGTTAAGGTGGAAGTAGAGAGCTGTGCAAAGAAAAGCTACAGAAAAATACTCGTATGAGTGGAAAATCTTATGTATCCTTGCTCATACTTCACGTGCAAAAATACAAATTTGTAGATTTTTGTCTTTTAGCCCGTTGGGTTGTCTGTGTCATTGCTTTGGCCATTTTGCTTCCTGCATGTGTTATTATTCTATGGCTTGAGGTATCTCCTTCAAGTTATGCCTATTAATATTCTCTGTCTTGATCATTGATTTGATGGTTTTTTTTTCCAGAATGTGTCCGCTTTGCCGAGTGCCATCAGCGTTTGTTACTCCGGTACGCCATTCATTTTTCGAGTTTTCAGTGTGTTTTAACACTTTCAATTTTGTTTTGATTCAGCAGTTTCTTCGCAAACAAAAGAATTAAACCAAGGGAACTTTCATTGACATTTATCGTTTTTCAAACTGATACCGAGATGCTGTCACAAAATGAACGTTTTTCACCATGGTTTTGGTGCTTTGAATTCAATGCTTGAGGGACTTCTTTTTGAAACGATTCAAATCTTTACAACAATAGGGTTGTTTATGTTATTACATTTCGCAACCGCGACCACAATTTGCCTGATTCCAACTGAGTATTTTCTCGTAATTAATCGATAAAGAAACCAATCACAGAGCTTGCTTTCATTTAATTTTTTTAGAGTGAAGTCTGGATTGAAGATCCAACAGAAAAGAAGAAGCTCATAGAAGAGTACAAAACCGCCCTGAAGTAAGCTGTTTTAATCAAGTTCGGGATCAGATTCAATCTGTGCATCCTGTATAATGCTCATTGTCTGACAATCCTGTTTTGTAGGGAAAAGCCCTGTAGATATTTTGCGGCAGGAACGGGAACGTGTCCGTTTGGTAGCAGCTGTTTCTATAAACACGGTAGGTCACAAATAACAACTTTCGTGAAGATAATGGCGGTGTTGTAGCAGGAGTACATGTGGTCTTCGGTTATAAGAAACTTTTGCGACGTGTTTTTTTCTCGTTTTCTGTAACCACGTTAATAGAAATTCACGACAAATTGCGTTCGTGAGAAGATCAAGGAATATGTGCTATTTGAATCGTGACATAAGACATTACATTGTAGCGAAAATTTCTGCAAGAAACGTTGTTTCGAAAGAGAGGTGACCGCTTGGCTGTGGGAGTTCTATTGTAGGTTCGAGATTAGGTGTTGACAGTGGTTACCAGTGAAGCTTGAAGAAATGTTTACTCCAATTATATTTCAGTTGGTAAAAAGATGTTTTGGAAATGAAAAAATAGAGGAAGATAAAACAGGGGAAGAACTAAGAACCTCAGTATTTGTAGTCTCCTGTACCATTACTGTACATTACATTTTTAGCTTATCCAGATGGAAGAGTGGAGGAAGTGAAGTTGAGGCACTGTAATACTTCAGAGGGTGTTACGAAGATTGTGAACACTTTCAGGTCAGTTACAATAACAGTGCAATTGCTATGAAATGTGAGTTACTTTCCAGTCAGAGATGTTTTCATTTCGAAGCTGAGGTCATAAGCAAACATTTCTTTAAATATTTGTTGTACACATCAAGTAGTCCACAAACTGACGGATTTGTTTATTTTTCGTATTTTTCACTGTACCTCTACTACCAGGGACACAATACTCAATTGTCGCATTTGGATGCTTAGAAATCATGTCTTCTTTCACTACTGTTTACTTAAAGAATAAGATATCATTTCCTTGTTTTTTTTCATATGTTTTTACTTGGCTCTTTTTGTGTCCTTTCCTACCAGACTATGGGACTTTCTTGAAGTTCACGAGGATGAAAGGATTCGTGAAGAATACGCTATAATTGTGCTGGAAGACTCGGATTCAGATTCAGATTGAAGGCTTAAACAAGGACACAAATGTACAGAAGGGAAGACTGTGTGAAACTACTTGTTTCTGATGCTTTAACTACAAATTATATCGTTGTGAAAAATATATACTTTTTGAAAATGTAAGTAGCAGCTGCTCTTGAACGCCTAACTCGTTTACAGTGTGACCCAGCAGCTCCTCAGTTTGATATGACATTAGCGACTGTTTTCAGCGTAAGTCAAGATTACAACCCGTCCCTCAGTTGACATTTATAATCTTAAATGGTTAGTAAAATCAACGTTAATCTAACTGCTTTCACTTATCTTCATTCATGTGTTCTTGCACTTTGCAGCTCACTTTGTTATGAATTTGATAAGCCATCTGATACACTGGAGTGAGATGTAAAATCGAAAAACAGTGAAGAGAATTTGTACAAACAAAATAATTTGTAATTTATTTAGACGTGAATTGTATTGTACTTTCTCATTACACTGTAAAAGTCATCTTAAAATATTTTTGATGATTTTCTCTTCAAAGAACTCCCGTTTAGAGGTAATTTGTTGCTTATGTCGGAAACTGACAACACTAAACACGCTACAAAAAGTTTGGCAAAATTTGCAAGATCCACCCGTGATGGCGTCTGTATTGTCACCACCCTTAGGTTTCTCTTTCTGCCCCAATGATGTAATTTATTTGAGTTAAAGTATCACATTGTAAAATACTTTTGAATAAATGATTGTGAGAATTGTAAGTGTGAACTTTTTACGAATATTAAATTTTCGGAAATTTAAGGTGGCTCTTAACCTTTTCGTCTCAGCTCATAGAGGGGGATGGTTATTAAACGTAGAGAAAAAGAGCAAACAGATAGCAAGGCCCCGTCCACACAATGCCGGAGGAATTTGAAAATGGAGCTTACACTATGAAAACGTATCAAATGTTTTCCGTCCACGCTACGCCGGGGGAATTTAAAAACGCAACAATCATCGGTCATTTTGGATATGTTAGACTATGTGTTTGTATTAAGACGCCATCGTTTTCGAAAAGCTCCGTTTTCATGACGGATTAGTGTGGAGGGTAGGCCTATCCGTGAGAAATAAAGCTACGTTTTCAAATTTCTCCGGCGTAGTGTGGACGCTGCCCAAGAGTTATGTTGAAAGGGCCACTATGCATGACACGCAGCTACTGATTAGCTGCTCATGCAGAAGTTGACTACTCTTGTGTCTTGTGCACGGTCAAGGTTAAAAACTGTTTGCTAGCATGAACAACATCAGAAATCTAACAAGTTATTGAGCAGGGAGGAGAGGAGGAGCTTACTTCTACAGGCCTTCGTGAGGCAAACCTGTGAACGAACGGAGAGACAAAATACGTAAAGCAACCAGAAGAAAAACAGAGGGGAAGCCAGGAAAAGTGGTCGGGAGAGGGGGGTGGGGGTGG